TTGAGTTCATCATCAATAATATCTTCAATACAATTTCTCCGCACCTGTGTTGAGGGAGAACGGATTTGATTCCTTTTTCTGTCTATGGGGACGAAACTGTAAAAATTGGTCAATTGTCCTGTCCACGTCGATTTCCTGTAAACAGATTTCATTCAAATATGAAAATGGAACCATAAACTTGGATTGTTTGATTGCTGACAATAGTAATTAATTTGAACAAAGCAAGAACTACGGTTTTACCAGAATAAAATGGTACCATCTTTTATTTCGTTGCCTTCTCGTCAGCTGTTTACAGGGCAAAGACAAAATTAAATGTATCTACAAAAACAATTTTAACATACTTGCACAGAGTTACATTGGAAGAACAGAAAGAAGGGCATATCTACGATTTTCTGAACATGTACCGAAAAGCTTACGTCTAAAGGGAACAAAAGCTTTGAACATTGCCATCTACAGGCATCTCCTTGACATGGGTCATCAGGTGGACGTCGAAAAGTCGTTCAAAATTATTAATAGGCAAAAGAGCTCAATTCTCCTTAAGTTTGCTGAAGCCATTTCCATCAAGCGCCTGAAATCTGATTTATGCGTCTAGAAAGAAGCGGTTATCAGTCTTTCTTTGCCCTAGTAACTGCATGTTTTCCATCTCTCTTTCATTCGAATGCGAAATGCTGAAAAGTTTTCATTGTGTGTGATTATTATTGTTCGGAATAGTGTCTAATATCACATATATATAAGTATATATTATTAGTATATGCGTATACTGATCGATTGATTTTTGTTTAAAATGAACTCTGTGCAAGTATGTTAAAATTGTTTTTGTAGATACATTTAGTAATGTCTTTGCCCTGTAAGCAGCTGACGAGAAGGTAACGAAATAAAAGATGGTACCATTTCATTCTGGTAAAACCGTAGTTCTTGCTTTGTTCAAATTCATCAAGGGGAATAAATGTATGAAATAGTAATTAACGTATGGTATTTGAAATCTATAAACACCTCATGTGTTTCTATGGTTAAAACATATATCATACAGAAATGCACCTGAGAATAATTCCGCTGAGATATGCCCACCTTTAGTTTATGGAATAACTCTATCGTTAATTAATTTTATGAACAGAATACACGACCTATATCATGATTACTAACGTCAGTCAAGCTTATCGGTTCACTAACCAGTCCTAAGCCAGAAAAAAGATAGGGAGAATTGGATGTGGGGTTAGCAACCCCTACTGCAGAAAACAACTTCGGTCGCTACAAAAACTTAAACGCACAGGAAAAATATTTTCAAAGTGTAAACCTATTCTTCCTTGGAATCAGAGAGAGACAAAAGGATGCGGGCTGGTAAAAACCTTTGGGAAGCCAGTCAGCCGATGTCTTTTTCCATGGAAGCGAAAATAAGACGAGACTGCAAAGGACACCTTCACTGAGACCATCCGAGAAAAGTCAAAGACATTATGTAGCGTCACCGAGGAAATCTGCGTGGAATAACACTGGAACTCTCTGAAAGTAATGTTTGAGGCAACATGTATAGTCGTTTTAAAAAGAAACCGGAAAAAATACACGCAGTTGCTCTCTACGGGTACCTGGAAGCTAATAGAGCAGAGCAAGACGGCGGAAACAGATTAACCAATGCAAAGATGGACAAGAGAAGGCGAAGCTGAGTTCAGTGTACACTGCACTAAATAAGGAAGTGAAGAAGAGAGCTGAGAAAGATAAAAGACAATTCTACGACACACTGGCAACTGAAGCAGAACAGGACGCATTTAAAAGAGATTTCAAGACATTTTATCAAATGACCAGGCCTTTATCGGGAAATAGATCGACACAGATGAAATCGACTAATGATCAAGGGAAGCTAGTTACCAAAAAGAAGAAACAAAGAAAATTATCGGTTGATCACCTAAAAAGGCTCCTAATCCGACTACCAACTACCAGAAACACCCACAATGTCCACAGAACTGCTACTGGACACTAATCCTCCAACGAAAGCAGAAGTCTTGGATGTAGTCAAGCTACTGAAAACCAGAAGGCAGCAGAACCATGTGAAATTCCTCCGGAAGCACTAAAAACGGATACAGAGACGACAGAGGATATTCTGACGCCATTACTGAAGAAAATCTAGAAGGAAGGAAAGGTGCATGCTGATTAGAAAAAAGGCTACCTTGTCAAACTACCAAGCCATCTCAGAAACTGGCGCAAAATGATGCTACCGCACCCGCGAAGCGAAACATTAGGTTCTATCATCCTGAAGAAACTTAAAGATGCTCTGGATGCAGAAATCCACCCGAAACAAGCAAGAATCGATAAAAGCAATTCATGTGCAGATCAAATTGCACTACTACGAATCATTATCTAACAGAGCATAGAATGGAAGTCAAAACTCTACCTCATCCATTGTGAAAAGGTCTTCGACAGCGTTGTCCATGGAGTAATTTGGAAACATTTTCAACACTATGAATTGCAGTATGCAAACGTTCATCAACCTCATTCACCAGCTGTGCGATAATTCCACATTGCAAGTAATTCACAAAGTAAAACTATGCGGAGCCTCTGAAATTAAGACAGGAGTAGGACAAGATTGTCCACTATCACCGATGGTATTCCTAATTGTGGTGGACGGGATTATGAGGAAGACTGAGCGTAGGGAGCGAGAAGACAGGAATACGTTGGATCGACAAGAAGACTACAGGAGATCTGGGCTTCATGGACGGTTTATTTCTCATGTTACATAAACTTGAAGACTTACAAGCGAAAACCATCAAAGTGGCTGAAGAAGCAGGCAGCGAAGACAGGACTGCAGGTGAACATAGAGAAGAGGGAGGTGATGAAGATGACCAACCAACAACAACAAGCACCAATCACTGTCAACGGGAGAAATTTGAAACAGGTAACTTCATTCACTTTTCTAGGAAGCATCATTTCAATCACAGGCGGAACAGTTGAATATGTCAACGAGAGAATCGGAATGGCAAAACAGATGCTTATAAACCTGAAATCAGTTTGGAAATCTCCTGCACTCAGTATAAAGAACATGATTCGAATTATCAGCACCAATATTTAGTCACTTCTATGTGGGTCAAAAAATTGGCTCGTCACCAAAAGTATTTTCAACAGGACGCAGAATTTCAACAACAGCTGTCTTGACTCCAGATTAGATGGCCAGAGACGACAAGCAATAGGGATCTCTGGCAGGTATTGGACCAGCTGCGAAGCTATCCCCTTACAAATATTCAGAAGCAAATGGATTGAACATACATACGCTGAGGAAACCGTTAAGTAACATCACTCTCAAAGCCCTTGGACGAAAGCTAAGTATGAAATGATGAATTATATGTAGGTCTGAGGGTGACATGGAGGACATCGTATGGAGAGGAAATAAAGCTAATGGATAGTTGTAGATCCAGTTTTAAAAAAAAGACTGTAGAGAATGGAGATGTACTGCTGATTGAAACCCTATATTCCACTTGGAAACCAAAGGAATAATAATGTTTATCTTGTGGAAACGAAATTCTTTAACAAAATTTTGACTACTGCTCTAGCTTACACACACACTTCGGTTAAGCTAATTTTATCGAGGTTTGTTCATCGAAATACAACATTAGAACAGTAAGCTATATAATACATTCAAGATGAAGCTATCCACCATCAAATTTGAACTCAACAAGTAAGTAAGATACTGTGAGTTTAACCTCAATTCTGTGCTCGATAGCTGCTACAAACAATACAAATCATTAAACTTAGAACAGGGAATTCTCCCTCCCCCCCCTCGCTGTGAAGTATTCAGATCGATATCGTCCAGTAACATAACAGCAGAACTGAGGCCCAACTTACTTATCTAATCCTCAGACTATCATGAATAATTTAGACAACTAATTTCACCCATAGGAAACACCTTCCACTCGGCTTTCAAAAATAACACCGATAACAAGTTACGTACATGTATTTGATTACATTACAAAAACTATCAATTTAAGAGAAAACAATAATAATAATAATACCAATAAATATTGGATTACTAAATATTCGTAAGAAATCTTCAACACGAAAAGAAGAATACGAATTCATTGCATATATATATATGTATATATATATATATATTCCTTCACGTTCCGAGTGGAACATAGGGCTCCAAGCTAGAGGCTTGAATTTTCTGTAGCAGTGGTGATTGTTTTTACAGGATGTGGTTGCTAGTCTCATGCCCAACCTTTTCTCTTTACCAGCTTTTCATTACTGGCTTAGCGAGGTTTGGGAGTGCGTCGGCCGTGGATCGAACCCCGGACCATGTACATGGTCGGCGAGCGTCCTAACCATTGTGTCACATACACATATATACGACTATTAGTATTCTCTTAGGTTCCGAGTGGAACATAGAAAAGCTTCAATACAACAACATCTCCATTCCACTCTGTTTTCCTAAAGTCCTCTCTAAATGGCTCTGTGATTGCCCACCTCCTCCTCCTCACACACACACTCAGACGCCCAACTCATCGTTTTCCATTCGTGTTCTATTCGAGGGCCACGGGTGCGATGTCACTCAACAGTTTCTTCAGCGTCTGTCCCATTCACCGTTATCATTTTCTTTGGAGACACAATGCAATCAAGGTAATTTTACAGATAGATATAAGTTGTGTTGTTTTTTTTCACGAGTCGAAAACTCAGCTCGAGAGAAAAAGCGATACACGGTTAAAGTGGTACAAAAACAATCCAGTTTAGTTAGAAAAATCAAACAAACAAACAAACTAATTATAGTGAAAGCAAATGCTACCAAAATATGTAATATAAAGTGTAAATATGGAAGTGCATTTGGCTGTACACAGATGAAATTATGAAAGACAATATTAATCCATAAAAAAAAACACACACAGAATAAAGCACAAATAACTACTGCCTGATATGTAATTGGTTCATTTGATTTGATTGTATTCAATGTCCTGTTTAATACAGGTAGTGAAATGCATTTTTTTTTAAAAAGAAAAGAAAGAAATTAGCTATGATTGAACCACCCCCTCCCCCCCAAAAAAAGCAATTTACACGAGGTAAAGACAATGTGACATGATAAAAGATGATGAAAGCAGTTTTTGTCATATGCATAATCAAGAAGGGAGGCGTGATGATTGAATATTTTTCCGTTCAACAACAACAACACACCAGAATACACACTTTACAATTATCATAAATGACTAGAATTCAACTTTTTTCAAGCATTTAAACAATTGGTTCCCATTAAAGATCAGATAGTCTTATTTATCGACTATTATGTCGTTGATAGGCTGAATTTTGGAACATCAGTGAACTTGAATTACTGCTGGATGATATAGATTCAATTTCATTGTGATTATTTATAAAAGTAGGTGTAGAAAATTTTCGTGTCATTGTTGTTGTTGTTGTATTGGCTGCATTTAATCCTACGCCTCCTCCTCTTCCTGGCATTACACCATTATGCTGCCATACATCAAGATGACTGCAATCACCGTCTACTATAATAGGATTTTCAAGAAGAGTTATATGCGCCACATATAAAGTATAAGTAAAGTCAATAAGAAAAGTTGTCACCAATAGGATAAAAGTTACAATTAAGTATACTCGTGATGCAGTTAATTGTAAATACAGCGATTTTATTACAAGATTTGAACAACCTGAAGTATAAATCTGACGAGTAATCATTAGTAATGAAGTATTATTCCTTGTAGTTATAGATTTAGAATAGCATGATGCAGGTAGAGAAAAATTACCACTTTGTAACAATTCTTTTTGATCAAATGAACTCCAATCGGTGTAGTTAACTTGTCCACAACACTGAAATGTTTTTTGTATTACTTCCCAACACAGGAATGCATTGTTATGCGTTTTTAAGTTGAAATAACTAACTCGAGCTTCAACGAATATACTAGCCATCTCTGAATTGAATATGGTATCCATTTGATTTAAAAAATTTCCCACTAATATCATGCTTAGAATTAAACCAATTGATAAAATTCCCAGGAAAATAGAACCAAAACAAAACCATCCAATTTTAAACTGACAACAATCAGAACATCCATTTGACGAAGTATCTAGTGTATCTTCACTATCACAATATGAACGTGAGAAATTGAAAGGTCCAAAAGCCGCTTGACCACAATGAAGATCAACAGCTGCCGTACAATAACTGAATGGATTATTATTATTATCCGGTGGATTGATTGATTGATGGTCAACTTGAAGTGCACACTGGCCTGTAGTCACATCATTAACAATTGATGATTTTACAGGGAAAAGAAGAAATGTGAAAAGAAACCATAAGAAGAAGATGATGGCTAGAACAACTTGTAAGATAGACAGTCCAAGTGATAGCCAAAAGACAGTGTATATTGCATGTAGCACAGGACAATTTCTTATCGGTTGGCTGACAATTGCACTGAATAGGACAAGTCCAACAATTCCCGTACATAAAAGAGTGAGAATAAAGCATGCATGCAGGGCTTTGAGAATGTGAAGACGTTGTGTCAAGTTCAGTGTTTGCATAAATCCACACACTATTCTACAAAATATAAATGTAAAAATTTATAAGAATTTATAACATTGCACAAGAAAAAAACAGCTATTGGTAGTAAAGTAATAAGTGATTCATTTAGGCTCATAAGGTTTTACCGTACCACCGAATGATCATATAAAAAAGAGGGATAAATATACTAGGCAAGAATCCTATACACAGAAACATAATAAGGAACTTGTGCACTGTGGTAGAGTATAATTCCACTGTGTGTAAAATTTATTTTGATAAAGTCTCACAGTGTTAGACAGTAATATTTACTGATGACCACTTTTCGAGCACAATTTATTACTGCTCATAATCATATCAAGGTAGGCACACAACTTTCTAATTTTGTTTATAAAATTCCATTATTTCTCATCTCTTGACTTGATTGGTAGTAGCATTTTTCGTATTTCCTGTATGAGTGATGAGTCATTCCTATTGCACGTGTTGGGTGTAGACTCTATGAACAAGGATTCAGTAATCAACCTCTTTCTCTGCCTGCCTATATTACTTCGTAGAACAGTTCTACCATATAAGGAGGGAACAACTGAGACCCCACGTGTAGGATTCTTAATAAAGCAGCAATTAGAGTGGCATTTAAACCTACAAACTCACTCAGGTAAGACAAGCTCTGTAGGTTAAAGGACTTAGTTGACCCAATCAGACAAAATAATATAATATAATTAAGTCAACTAGGTAGCTCGAACTAGTAGATCAGGAGTAGTGAGATTACCAGAACATAAGAATTTAGCTAAGGTTAGAATGATTGATCTCGCGAAGATAAGTAATTTAGAAAAAAGCTGAACAATTGCACTTGATGCGTTAACACACAACCACACAATATGATGGGACAGAGTTAAAGTCCTAAGAAATACTATAGATAGGTGGAGAAAGAGTTTGATTACTGAATCCTTGTTTATAGAGTCTACACCCAACACGTGCAATAGGAATGACTCATCACTCATATAGGAAATACGAAAAATACTACTACCAATCAAGTCAAACGATGAAAAATAACGGAATTATATAAACAAAACTATCTTGATATGATTATGAGCAATAACTTGTGCTCGAAAAGTGGTCATCAGTAAATATTACTGTTTAACACTGTGTGACTTTATCAAAATAAATTTTACCTACAATGGAAGCAATAACTTCTGCAACTGACTGGTGAACCAGTTCAATCTGTCACACTTCAAGTAGCACACAAAGTAAGGAAAAAGACTGGAGAAAATTGAATTCAAAAGAACGATAATAACTACAAATGTAACGGAGAGAGAATAGTAACATGGAAGAAGAATAGAGTTTAATGGATATGGGAGATCACAAAGACTGAATACATCTGTAGCACTGAGAACGACTTTGAGCAATATCACCAATAGTCTCTATAGCTATTGGTTCTTAATATCCCTAGGAACCCAAACTAGGCGGTCTACACCTTCCTACCTGGCTGACACTAACGGCAAAAGATTTGTTAGCAATGGAATCTAGGATGCACGTTTCATCCTACCTGGAACTCGTCAACCGAATATAACTGCATCCCTAATGAGTGGTGAATGATGTCCCGATTGAGAATTGCGTATTTTAGATTCCAAAGCTAGCTATGAGTAACCAAATAAGAGGATGTTAATCTTCAGACGCAGTTGAAGCGTATGTACTAGTAGCTAACGTATCAATATATAATCCAATCAACGGAAAATACAGATTAATCGAAATAAATAATAAATTTTCCGGAGCTTGGTTGTAGGGACTTGATTTATTTTACGTTTGATCACGGATTAATATCAGTTGGAGAACCAATGAAAACCAGGGAGTAGTTGATAGCTGTTACGTCCTAGTTTGGGACTAATCGGCAGTACGCACTCATCGAGTTTGCCTTGTAGCCGTAAGGACCAGGGTTCGAAACCTGGTGGGTGCGCACTGCCGTTGAGTCCCAAAATAGGACGAAGCAGCTGTCTAGTACTCACTGGTTCACAATGATTCTCTAATTGATATCAATCCGTGATGAAACTTGAGACAGATGATACACTATCACAAATTACTACGAATGTCTTTGAGCTATATTATGCAAGGACTTCAATATCTTATCGCAAATAATTAACTGAAAGAAGGTTAAGTAGTGAGCTAAGAGGCGTGTTTCACCTGTAGCAATTTTATGATAGCGTATACTTGTCTGGTCTAAAGAAGATGAGACAACATTTGAACCTATTAAACTAACCCTAAAAGCTTAGTGTTCAGGTCAATGAATTACAGAGCTTAAACCACTAATTTGTTGTTGTCTTACAGACCAACTCTGAGGGTTTATATCTTCTCAAGAACTTTATAACGACTATCATTTGCTCTATGAATGTACCTAAGCAGAAATATGAAGGGGGAAAGAATAATAGCACGGAGAAACATTAGGGTTTAATGGATATAGGTGAGAGGAGGTGAATGCATCATTACCACTGGGAGCGATATTGAGCAATATGACCCACAGTATCCAGCCATTGGTTCTCAGAATCCCGAAGACTTTAGCCAAGAAGCCTACACCTCCCTACATGGGTCAAACTAACTTCCAAAGATTTCATGGATTGATTTCAAGTTCTCGTTTGACCACCACTACCTGATCCATCCTATGTCAGCTAACATTTCGCATCAAGGAAGGAGATGGCTAGGTATATGTGACACATTTCTTAGCCATCTGAATCGATGTACTACTGAACAGTACACACATCGTCCGATCGATATCACATCTACACCGGCAATGGGGTAAGCTGGCAAATGTCACACGAGTGTTTTGTATCCGTGTAGAGATTTAGTCAGTAATAAGTCCACTGGGGCTGATGCAACTTCCGAAAATGTCCCACAACTTCACTTCTGATCTTTAAGCAAGGAGTCCGTTTAATCTAGTCCGGTAGCATCAACTTACATCTGACAAGGGCAGATCGCATGTCAACCATTCGAAGATTAATGTTCAGTGTTCGAAAGACTGCATTTTATTAGCGTCTTAACCTAGGAGGAATATGTCATTCTCAAATTCTAAGTAAACAAGGCCATCCACTGGCAACAGGTCAATTCCTAAGTCAATAAAATCAGTTAGGGTCAATTCCATCATGTACCTAGTCTTGAATGCTGATTGATTTCCACCTATCATATACGCAATATGATCATTAGTCTAGGTGACTGGCCACCGCGATGCCCATTAGTTCAAAGTTCCTCCAACCATTTAAGAATAATCTTATGTTTGATAAGTGTGGAAGTTTTGAAATTTTTCAATGGTGACACTGTCGCTTGGTAGTCTGGAGGCTCGACTTTGAACTGCTATTCCATAGATTTGAGTCTCATTCCATCTAATGTAGTCTGGGCAGTCAGAAAGTACCATTAACTTGCATAGAACAGATGCCCTGCATCTCTTTCACACTGTTATCAAATACATAAGGCTAACTGATTGCTTTTACAATAAAGCAATATGAACGTGGCATCCATCCACTTTTTTATTTATTTATTTCTCATTCCTGTACGTTCCCAATGGAACATACAGCTTCAAGCTACAGCTTTGAAGCTCCGGTAGATGTGGTATTTATTTTTACGGGATGGAGTTGCTAGCCTTATGCTTAATCTTTCCCCTTTACCAGTCTTACTACTGGCTTAGCGGGGTAAAGGATTGATTCGGCCGGGGACCGAACCCCGGACCATATGCGTGGTTGGCGAACATTCTACCGCTGTGCCAGCAACGAACTCACCTACTTTTAGATAATCAAAATATTTCAGGATTTTAAACGACTTCAGATGCTAATAAGTATAGTACATCCGTCTGGGTGATACTTCACCAAACATACTGCATATTCTTGTGGCCAATATACTGACTTAGCATCTAATTCTATGTGTTAATATTCTTTACTATTTTTTCATGAAATGCGGATAGTTGACATATTTCTTGATCCCAAGGGGCATGTGATTCCCTTAATTGATGGATATTTCGACAATGTCTGGTCGTGAAAGGAGTACCAAGAATGTAGGCTGTACTAATCAGCAAACTAGTCGGACACAAGTAGCCATGTAAGCGATTAATGACAGCTGCCATCTGAAATAGGAAAAAAACTAGGTGTCTGTCAGGAAAGTATGCTTTCAACATTTCTGTATAATTTTCTTATAGATGTACAAAGATGTGCGACTCAGATTAACTTCAACATTTCAGGCGCCTACTTAGTACTAGGAGGTGGGAAAGACAAAGTAGTCTTCTTGAGCAGAAATCTGAAAATATTTAGCATCGACTTCGCTCCCATCACATCTAAGGTGATATTTAAGGACTCTTCTGTACGGACTATTGGTGAAGTGGTTGAGTACGGTGACCACTTCACTCATTTTGGAAATTGCATCAACCCTAATGGATTGACTGTTGAAGAAATTTCAGCATAAGTAAAGAAAGCTAACTTGACATTTGCTAGCTTGAGTGATCTTTGGGGCCGGCGTGACATCCGGGCAACCACCAAATAACGTATGCACTGCTCAACAGTTTGCTCCATTCTACTCTATAGTCATTGGAAGTGTAAGATATGAAGAGGTTAACCATTTTATCGGGGGTGTTTTACAAGCTGTCATCGTTATTTGTGGTCAGAGAATGAAATGAAGATGACTGATTATTCTGCAAAATAGTACCGACAGTAATAAGGAAGCAAGATGACGAGGGTGACAGGGATTAAAGAGATTGATCAGGAGGGCTTCGTGTGCTTTAGGAAGTGTGTGGGCGGTTGTTACATCCCGGCTGCTCACACCATGGAAGATGATTTATTCCTGTGGCACTTGAGTGAACGCAGACCCCAGGGGACAACTGCTTGATGCTGGCCAGTCACACACAGCCTGTATGAACTGGTTTATTGGATTGGTTCCGTATTAGTAAATTTACCGCCGGTTACGGACCACTGTAGGGTAAGTAGAGATGTACAATTTTTGGGGTCGACCTCTTCTAACCCCTTCTCTCTAGAGTGAGGAGGCAGCGTAGCTGACATACCAATCGTCTG